GCCGAGAAGCTCCATCATGTTGTTGCACATGAGGGTGTACGGCTTCCGAGATCCTCCCCACGGATAGTCTTCCCCATCGATGCAGACGAAGACTGGCCCGCCTGCTTTCCAGTACGTCCTGTTTGTCGTGTAGCGCTGGCACCAGGTTTTCGTGCTGTCGCTGTCGAAATGGTCGAGCTTCTGCTCACAAAATGTCTTGAGGCCGTCTGAAACGTCCAAAACCTGAAAAGTCTGACATTGCAAGAACCAACTAAACTGCCTACACACGTCGGAACATGAGAAACAACACGCACTCTTCTGCCAAGCAGCTGGAGGGTTGACTTCGGCGACCACCTTCAGCAACTTGTCGCGCTTGAGGCTGAGGCCCTGAATCTGAGCAGAGGCCAGCGGCAAACTTCCGAGGCCCAAAGCCAAGGCCGCCCAGGCTCCGAAAAGGAGCGACGCCATGGAGAAGTAAAGTAAGTACAGGTATAGGGCCCCGATGTCCAAGAGCCGGGGCACTGCAGAAAAAGGTTGGACCTCACAAACCCTGGCCTAAAGACCCAAAGTCGCAGCACCTCTAGACGAGTCTTCGCGACCGGAAGCCCAAGTTCTTCTGACTGCTTCACCCCTTGGTCTCCGTCTCCCCCTCTTTGTCTCCTGCTCCTCTCCCCTCTTATGTGACTCTACACCGACCCTATACAAGCCTCAAACACAGCTCTGTGCTCTACTTTAATCATCTCTAATCCTTGCTGCTCTCTTTCGCACTGCGCTCTCGGAGTAGCTTTGCACTTCCGCTCCTCTACTACTCTTCATGCTACTCGTCTACCCTTCTACTTTTCTACTCCAATAGCGTTTCAGGTTTTGGGTAGTAGCTGACCGTGAGGAGTCTGCATGCAGTAGCCACGGATCGATTTTGGGGGGAAGTCACCAAGTGTTTTCATAAATGGTGGAAGTGGAGAAAGTGCACAGAGCCCTAACCCATCCTTTTCTTTTCAAGACCAGAAATCTCAAGGCTATCCTGGAACTTGCGGTTGTTTTGTCTCATTTTTGTTGCACGACAGATTTGCTAAGGACTCCAGGGTTTAGGGCAAACACCCAGTTGGGTTTCTTTACTGGGAGCTGTAGTGAACTGAACTCACGAGGGACCCTCAAACGAAGGACAAGAACCTAAACCCCAAACCCCAGGAATCCCCTGCTGGGAGTCGGAGGATGTCAAACTGCGTGGAAGCGAGGACCCTCCCCATTCTCCCTGTCTTCTCTTAAAACGACGGGTTGTCAAGAAGTGTAGTGTAGGTGTGCGATGTATCTGTTGCCAATCGTGTTCTTGCTTGCCTGATCGCATCTTTGTCTCCTATCCTTATCCCTAAACCCTGAACCCTAAACCCTAAACTTCATTGAGCACCTGTGCTCCACAGATTCTCACACCCTGGAAGACCGATGATGCCGGTTGTACCGCGCCTTTCCGGAAACCACGTCGACCCCGCTTTTCCGGATGCTTGGCAGCGGAGGCGTTTCCAGTTTCTTTTTTGTACAACCCCAACAGTCTGGTGATCTCCAGGCATCCTTCGAGCATACCGCCTAAACGGCAACACAACAAAAAATTGGGGGGGATCGAAAAATGCGAAAAAGGGCTCGAAGTCGCGTCACAAGTCAAGGGCAGCCCAGAGCTTTTTGATGCGGTCTTGAACGATGAGGGTGATGGTGGAGATGGGCCCTGTGCGGGCAAAGTAGACCGGAAATCCGGAGTAGAATCGAAGTGGACTCGCCCGCAGCGTCTTCAGAGCGCAATCCAAAGGGCCCTTGAAGGGCATCTCTCCAGTGCTTGGGTCTGGCTTCATCTTCTGCAGCTGCGTCTTAACGAAGTCGAAGGGCAAGGAGAAGACCGAGCCGAAGAAGCCTCGGGGTTCTTCTTAAAGGGACTTTTAATGTACGTTACCAGAATAAGGAAGCCATAGTATTGACCATAGATTACTATTTATGGTAACTTAGACTAAAACTCATAAGAAACCCTATTATATACACCATAGATTCCCATTATGGTAACTTAAATTAAAATTCCTAAGGAAACCATATTATTTACTATAGATCCCTATTATGGTAACTTAAAAACCCAAGAAATCCCGAACAAGGCCCCAGAAGCCGCCGGCGAAGGCTGCTCCGAAGACCTGCACGTTGCCGCCCTTCTCGAATCCCATGGCTGCGAGCTGCTCCTTGGCCTTGGAGTTAAGGGCCGTTTTAGGGCAGTTTAGGGCAGTTTAGGAGCTTACGGGTTTAGGGCAGCTTAGGGCAGTTTACGGGTTCAGGGCAGTTTAGGGGGTTTAGGGCAGTTCAGGGCCGTTTAGGGCAGCTTAGGGCAGCTTAGGGCAGTTTAGGGGGGTTTGGGGGTTTTGCTTTGGCCTTGGAGTTGAAGGCCAGCATCCCAAAATTCAGGCCCATGGCACGCAGGGCCGTGGCTGGGGCGCCTTGGAGGAGTCCTGCCGCTCCTTCCTGCTTCACCTTTAGGGTTTTAGGGTTTAGG